AGAGAATTAATAAAGAAATAAAAGTATTCTTGGAACTAAATGAAGGGACGATACAACACAACAAAACCTCTGGGACACGCTGAAAGTGGTCCTTAGAGGGAAGTTTATAGCTCTAAGTGCCTACATCAAAAAATCAGAAGGAACACAAATAAATGACAACATTGCAACTCATCACACTTGAAAAACAACAGCAAACAAAACCAAAACCCAGCAGATAAGAAGAAATAACAAAAATTGGCAGAAATTAATAAAATTGAAACAAAGAAAACAATACAAAGAATCAACAATTCCAAGAGCTGGTTCTTTGAAATGATAAACAAGATTGACAGACCCCTGGCCCAGTTAGCAAAAAGAAAGAAAGAGCACCTCCAAATCAACAAAATCAGAGATGAAAGAGGAAACACCACAACAGGCACCAGAAAGATACAGAACATTATAATGGAATACTTTAAAAACCTATAAGCTACTAAATTTGAAAACCTAAAAGAAATACAGCATATCTAAAATCATAGGAACCATCAACGTTAAACCAAGAAGAGATTAACAGTATAAACAGACCCATACCATACAAGGAAATCAAAACAGTAATACAAAGCCACCCAACTGAAAGAAGCCCAGGCATAGATAGATTTACAGCAGAATCCTACCAGACATTTAAAGAAGACCTCCAACCAATACTGTTTAAATTTTCTAAAATAATAGAAACAGAAGGAGAACTCCCAAATTCCTTCTATGAAGCCAGCATCACTCCAATACCCAAACCAGGTAAAGACACAACCAAAAAAGAAAACTACTATAGACCCATATCCTTAATGAACATAGATGAAAAAACTCTCACCAAGATACTTGCAAACCGCATAAAGACACACATCAAAAAGATCATCCACCAGGTGCAGGGATGGTTCAACATATGTTACTCAATAAACATCATAAATCATATAAATAGGCTCAAAGACCAGAGCCACATGGTCATCTCAATAGATGCAGAGAAGGCCTTTGACAAAATTCAACATGCATTTATGTTCTAAGTCCTAGAGGGAATTGGACTGGAGGGAACATACCTCAACATAATTAAAGCTATATACAACAAATCCATAGCCAATATCATTCTGAATGGAGAAAAACTGGAACCATTCCCACTAAAATCAGGAACCAGCTGGGCGTGGTAGCACATGCCTTTAATCCCAGCACTTGGGAGGCAGAGGCAGGCAGATCTTTGTGAATTCAAAGCCAGCCTGGTCTACATGGTAAGTTCTAGGACAGCTGGGGCTACAAGGAGACCCTGTCTAAAAAAAAAAAATCCCACAAATTCACATTTAGTCTTTAATTTTTATATGTATGAATGCAAAAATTTTAAAGCCTTATCTTAATTTTTTAAAAAATTAAATGTTTTGGCTATAAAATTTCTAGGTTCACTGTTGAATCAATACAGTTATACAATATTGAACTCAGCATAAGCCCTGCAAGATACAAAATTGATATCTCCTATCTGGTATTGAGGAAGACATCAGAAGCTGGAAGTACCTCCCATTCTCATGGATTGAAAGAATTAATATTGTGAAAATGACCATCCTACCAAAAGCCATTTATAGATTCAATGCAATGCCAATCAAATTCCCCATGACATTCTTCTCGGAATTAGAAAAACTATCCTAAGATTCATATGGAAGAACAAAAGACCTTGGA